TTTGTGAAATCTACGTCTTTTAGTCTCAAAACTACATGTCTTGAGGTCTTTCTTTTATGTATTGCATTATGACATTTTGTGAAAAATCTGTACGTGATGGAGAAAAATGGATATAATTTGGAGATCCAGCATACAGGAATTACCGTAGAACATGCAAAAATTTCAAGACAATAAAATAATCTCAGGCCTGTGTAACTTACCTATTTTAATGCTTTTTCCAACATTTTAAACTAGAATGGGTTTACTCATAGACACAAGAAATACTAACTACAGATCCAATGGGGGTGTTCTAATAAATTTCACCCTAATGTATGTAAGAATAAAATCATTGAAAAAAAAGTCAGAACAAAAGCATGAATATTAATACCCAAACAATAAAGTTACTAAACTTCATGATAAAAGGAACCAAGACACTAACAGTTTAAATACCTTGATGCTTCAAGATGATGTAAGGAAAAACCAGATACTATTTTGTTTCCTTATTAAATCACTATTGCAGTTTATTTGAATGAACATATCAAGATTTTCTGAATTTCACAAAAAATAGCAGGAAGATTCTGGTAAAATAATACACATGTTATTAAAAATATATTAATTTATATTTTTCTCTTCATGTTGATATATAATATTCACATCAAATACACCTCTAAGCCTACTTTCATAACTATACAAGTGTATATGTACCTTTAGATCTGGAATGTGGAACTTAAAGTTATCAGACAAATTGTTTTGCTTAGAAGTAACGGAGTTCAACTTTTCCCAAGTTTCTTGACATGTTCTCTCTCCGGGAGCAGATATCAACCAGTATTCCGTCATGATAGACTGGTGCAAAACCTGTAAGTATGTCATAGTTACAAATAATTACATGGCTGAAAGTGGAGAATCACAGAAAATATATTTACCATTGGTAAATCACAACCTCTGCTAACTTGAACATTTTTTCAGGTATACCATACAATCATACACTATAATTTAATAGATATTAATTATACAAGTGCATTCCTACCTCTTCATGACCTATAGTAAAGTTAAAATGCAGTATTCAAATATAAAACCAAATTTTTCTATTGTAACTTCATCTACTGTAGATGAAGAAATGCTAGGTTACTAAGCATTTCGACCCCATTTCAATCTTACACAATCGCAAAAAGTATCACTACTTTAAAAGACAGTACAATATAAAAGCTGAAGCAGCCATTGTTAAAACAGTTTTAATGAATCACAACTAAACCCATTCATTGTCAAAAAAAACTGAACAAAAGTAACCACCTACTTCAGAAACTATCTTTAAAACAAAAAACGCTACATGTAATTGACATATTAAACGACCCAACACACACACTGAAATCGACAAGAATAAATTGCTTAAGCCTGTGACCTGAGTGAAACATCAGATCAGCAGATAAGACTGGTGCTGATGTGCCCAAGAATACCCGTTAGCGGGATCAGATTTTGACAATCTACATTCATGTGATCTCCACGTCTGGACGTTCCTAATGTATATATACTAGCAGCATTTGTCAAATTTCAAAACTTACATCCACTTTGTATTTCTTTATTGATGTACACCTTATAACAAACCTCACTGCAAGAAGTGATGTTGAACCTAGTAATATTCATGATAACCAGAAATAAAGGTACTTTTCAAGTAATGCTAGCATCATTCTATGGCAAGTAAAACTGTTGAAAATACATTTATCTTTGTAAAAAAAAAAAGAAATAGTTAATATATATATAAGGACATAACCTTAACTGACGTTCGCCAATATTTATTTTCGCTTCTCCGTGATTGACCTGATTTCGGGATACATTATAGGACATAACCTTAACTGACGTTCACCAATATTTCTTTTCGCTTCTCCGTGACTGATCTGATTTCGGGATACATTACAGGACATAACCTTAACTGACGTTCACCAATATTTCTTTTCACTTCTCCATGATTGACCTGATTTTGGGATACATTACAGGACATAACCTTAACTGACGTTCACCAATATTTCTTTTCGCTTCTCCGTGATTGACCCGATTTTGGGATACATTACAGGACATAACCTTAACTGACGTTCATCAATATTTCTTTTCGCTTCTCCGTGATTGACCTGAAGGTACCTGAATGTATTGCACATTTTCATACGTAAACAAACATACCAATCTGATCTCCTTAAAAAAATCAGATTAGAAAACCTTTGGGGGAATTCTTTAGATCAGATCAGTATCAAAAACCTGTAGATAGATCACTTGCAGGCTTAAAATTGCTACTACAAAGAATAGAATTCCAGCATTCCAAATGAAAAACTTTACTCACCTAAAACTGACATTATTAGAAACATAGATAAGGTACTAAAACAGTTTCACTAATTTTCACATGATAACGTTATGTGGGTTCTTGAAAAACTTATTTCTGTTTTGTACCGATCAAGTTTAAGCCCAATAAGTTTTTAAATTCCTCTTACACATGTATACTTAACTCTTATTTTTCAAGGAAGTTTATTATCACACAAAGATTTTTCAAATTACTCTAGTTTTAACTAAACAAACCTTGTCATTAATTATTTTAAAAGCATGTGTAGTTCAATTCTGTTAAATGCAGGTAACTTAATAACCTAATGATATGAAGCCTTACATTTTTAGATTTTCTTAAACAAATACAAATGTATCTTTGAGAATCATTATAGTACATGAAGAGTATGAAAGTAATCGAGCAGCTTTGACAAAGCAGCAAACTAATGAGTTATTTTTTTGTCTACTTTACAAACTGTAAATTAAATAAGACAAAGTTTTATATATACAGGTAACCTTCACAAGTGGTAATACCTGCAAAACTATTAAATGAACAGTTCGATCACAAGGAAAGGTAATTTTCACAAGTAAAATCAACTCGGAAAGAAAGTTGAATTTTCCATGAATCCAGGGACAACCTTAGGTAGCTGTGGGGGCCCTGTGCAATTTAAAAATGCAAGGATCAAATTTGCAAAATCAATGCTACATTTTGTGGTCACAACTAACCTGTTAACCCCCACACTTATACGAAACTGATTAAGTGAACTTCAAACAAAAAAGCACCAAAATATCTCACAAAAGGTAACGTAAAATGTAATTGAATGTAACATATCTTTAAAGGGTGTAACACAAAAGCCAGTTAAATTCATTATCAATCAACAACAAGTTTCCAAGTAGTTGTTCCCAACTCAGAACAGCTGAAGTTCTATTGTTGCTGTTGCACCTATAACTGCCCTTTGGTTAAAATGTCAGATGTGACAAAGAATATCCTAGTAAAAGAATACAGAACGTTAGAATAAACATGTTTGTTTGTTTTTTTAACGTGAATCTGAAATATGTCAGCAGAACAACATCCGAGATTGAGAGTGGCTTCTGGTCGTGTTTCCTATCCACTGTTTTAAACATCACACAATGTACTACAATTACTGTGTCCCACTAAACTGCTCACACACGAGGATATAGCTGCAAAATTAGTATGTCTTAAAGCCACATAGTTTAGCAAGTAGGATAATGTTGAGATTCAAAGCTGTCTTAAGTTTGGTTAGTAAAGTATTAAAGTTAATTCTTTATACAATAAGAATGGTAACCATAATCAACAGTATAGAATAAAAATATTAACATAAATTAAAAAATCCTTTACTCAGCGGAAGGGGGGTCTTGTGTGGCTACACATCTCATACCTGCCTAAGAAAAGTTTTTCAAACATGACAGAGGAACATTAATTTGTATACTTAGGCTACTTCTCCAACACTGATACACAAATTGGGGTTTCCAACTGCAACACTAAAACAACATTCATAAAACTAAGAAACTATAAATTCAACATTATATGACAATTTAAAGTGTAAGAAAATTATTATTTTTATGTATTATAAAGTTGAGAGTTTACAAATAAAATGTTTCAAGTTCGTATGATACTGTATCTGATTTAGTGGTTAACACAAAGGGAGATGTGACAGTTGTAATTTCTCCCTGGTTTATGCAATTTTGCAGTAAGTATGAATCAAAGTATTAGCCATATAAGTATGTATATATATACACACACATATATAATAGCCTATACATCAGTCTGTGAAGTATTAGGTCATCAAGAAATTAATGTCGCATTTTGGAACACTTTCATTAACCACCCCCCAAAAAACGTACATCACCTATAATAGTTACACGAAACGCCTAAACGTCACGTTAGTGTAGCCTATATAATTTATAAAGTTTAGTATGCTCTAATTCCTTATAGTAATGGCACACAACGAGACACACATTCAGCATGTAATGCTGTTTGGATACAAGAAGGGAAACAACGCTTCTGTAGCCACAAAGAATATCAAAGAAGTTTAATGGAAATGTTTTGAACGTTCGTAAGTGTCAACGATGGTTCAGAAAATTTCGTTCAGGTGACTTTAGCCTTAAAAACTGTGATGGTGGGGGTCAACATGTTGGAATTAATATTGATGCTTTGAAGATACTTGTTGAGTCTAACCCAAGACAACACACTCGAGAAATGGCCCTCATGAACTCTATGATGTTAACACGTTTCCAACGTGTGAACGTTGCGTCGTCTCTTCTGGTGCGTGAACCATTTTTGGACAGAATTGTCACTGGTGATGAAAAATGGATTCTCTATGCTAATATTAAACCCCAAAAACAATGGCTCAGTCCCAGATAAAAACCACTTCCGACCACAAAACCTGGATTCCATCCACTGAAAGTGATGCTTTGCATTTGATGGGACATCAAAGGAATAATTCATTTCGAACTCCTCAATCCACAGCGAACTGTCAATGCAGAGATCTATACTCAGCAACTGGAACGTTTGAATCAAGCCCTTCATCATAAACACCCTTCACTCACCAATCAGAAAGGTGTTCTTCTTCTCCTCGACAGTGCACGTCCACATGTGTCACGTTTGACACAATACAAGATTATGGAGTTGGGTTAGGAAGTTCTCCCCCATCCACCATATTCTCCAGATATGGCACCATCAGATTACCATCTTTTTCGTTTGCTGCAATACCCTCCTTATGGGAAAACGTATGCAAATATGGAAGATGTTAAATAGGACATCAACATGTTTTTTGCTTCAAAGACAAGTGACTTCTTTAATCAGGGCATTATTGATAATAATGAAGCCTATTTCATTTAATAAATGTTTTGTTTTGATAAGGTGTTCGAGTTTTTTCACCTAAAAAAAGCGACATTAATTTCTTGACGACCTAATACTTACCTCACAGTTTGGTAAAATGTTTTGAATTTACTGTTCAATCATTACATCCACTTTTAACAAAATGTATGGCAAAATTTTCATACTACTTCAAATTATTCATGCCATAATCATATTAGGTTAATTACTAGTGACATGTTTGAAGTTACTAAAATGTAATACATACATCACAGTTTGACAGACATCTTAATATCCATGTTTAAGACTAAATTTTATGTAAAATTGACTTTCTATTGTAACCCTGTTTCAAAAGCCTACAAGTTCAAATTTTTGTCAAGTTTCTGACATCACAATTAGTTAATTAATTAGGAAGTTTTTGCTTAGTGAAGTGGTGAAACAAAATTGAAATGGATAGAAAAATTGGATACAACAGTAAAAGCAAAGAGAAGTGATAGCATTGTTAAAGGTAAGTTGGTAGGTGTACCAATAAGAACTTTTGTGCCGTTACACCGTACCAGAAAATCATCTTATTTAAACTTATCATAAGTTTTCCTGATATTGCTGGGTATAATTTCATACTGATGTAAAACAATCAGCACTTCAGGCTGAACTCCTAGTCACGTGATTTAGGATGACAGATTTAGTGATCTCTCTGATAACTTCCTCATGGTCGATTGGCAATCTTTGATTCAGTTAGTAATCAGGTACCAGTCTTTAATAAATTTGAACCTCTGGCTACTTGTAATTATGAACAATAACAAGAGGTTTACATAGTGGGAGACTTTTTTATAAGTTTATATATATATATATATATATATAAAGTTGTTTGTAGTGGGGAGCATAAAAAGACTAGAACTAGAGAACACGACATTATAGAGCAGGTTGACAGTTTAATTGTTGGTGCCAAGAAAGATCGTCTTTTTAGTGCACGTTGGAGTGAATAATGTTGGAACTTTAATTCTGAAAATCTGCCTAACAAGTAAAAAGAACTTCAAAGATTTCGGGATAGAAATAGATGTGTGGTCCTTTTATAAATGCTCTCTCAGGTTAGATATGGGAATGAATAATTTAGCAGGATCCAAGGTTTAAATGAAAGATTATCAAGGATATACTCAGAGTAACAAATGGGCTTGTTGGACCCATAGAATATTTTTCAGAGTAGGGGAGAGAAATATATGCAAGAGATGGACTCCACATAAGAAGGTTAATTAGTAGGATATTTGGGAAAGCTCTTAGAATATTTGTTAAGGTTAAACTAAAAAAATTGCATAAGTGATGAGATAGCTTGGGAAATTAGAAATAAACAAACTGACAGCGCAGCTGTATGTAGCTCAACAAGGAAGTTTGAAAATAAAAAGATTTAGAACAATAAGTTTTAAAGATCCAAAAATACTTATTACTATAATGCTTGGAGTATTAGGAACAAAATGGATGACTTCAGTTTTATGGTTTAAATGGAAGAGTATCACACGATGAAATTTACCGAAATTTCATTAGATTTAGAGAACACTGATAATAGGAATTACTTTAAAATTCCATACAAGTTACTCAGCGATATTTGACAATCAGAGGTTTCTGGGAAAAAGTTTTTAATTGGCAGTTGTTATACTTTTGAAAATATAACTGGTCATTTTCTAGCTTCAACCAAGTGTTTGTGTTTTATTAAAATTTTGATGATTATTAATCCATTATAAAAAACAGAAAAACATAACCTCGTGACCTCTTCGATCCAGAAGTGTTTCTAGCAACAGAAATTAAACCACATACTAAAGTTCCCTTCTTCTCCCACTTGTGTTAATTACGCTTGATGTCACAAATATTGTCACCATACGCATGAGCACCCGTGATTAGCTAATGATGTCAACACAGAATTGAGATTAGAAGAGCCTAGGTCTTACAGTCATGGCAGCAATGCTGAATTCCACAGCAGTGAAAGCCAGATAATTAAAAAAAATCTCCTAATTACGAAATTGTTCAATAATATTCAACAAAATCATTAATTACATAGTACTGTTTAATTAACGCTTACATTGCTACCAATAACAGACAACTAATTGATCAACAGTTGATTATGCCTTACCATTAATCAAACATGATTTATACTGCATAAGCCACTTGATCAAACAGATGATGTCAATGAAAAATGTGTTACTAATAACAATACTGATACAATAATTACAGCAGACTAATTTTAGATAGAGATAATTTTTATGGATTCAACAATGAGAGAGATTTCTGGAAATGATTCACGGTGGTTTTCAATACCAAAAGGTCAAGGAGCTAACAAGAGAGGATTCCATTTCATATTTATCACTAACCATTAACTAGGATATAGTTTTAAGAGTTGAAGTGCGGGAAACACTTGGATAGGAATGATCATTGCACAATTAGGTTTAATGTTTACATATAGTTAAATGATGATATAAATATAAATTTTAGTTCCTAATTTTAACAAAGCCAATTTTGAGGCCACGAGACAAGACTTGTCATTTGTGAGTTGCAACAATGAGTTAAAACATAATGTGCAACAGATTAGGAAATCATAAAAAACAAACTACTTTTAATTTAAGATAGGCATGTTCCTAAAAAGTGAAAAAGGATAATGGGTAAGTTCAAACATACATGAAAGAGAAAGATGCCACAGGAATTTTAAATTAACAGAAATGTTGGAAGATTTACAGAACTATAAAAAAACTAGGAATTCAGTTTTAAACAAAAAATGAATTTTTTAAATACATTAGGGATTATGAAAACAGCTGGCAAAAAATATTAAAACAGCCAAGATTTTTTCTAAGTATATTAAAGTAAGCAAATTATTAAAATGGGTATTGGGCTATTGAAGGATGATAGTACGATTTAGTTGAAGATTATGAGAAGGTTGGGTTATTTTAAAATGTCTTTTCTCCAGATTTTACAAGAGAAGACACTAGCAAAATTCTACCCCTGAGCATTTCATGGGAAATACCGAATTGTGTACATATTAATCCCTTGATGATAAAAAAACAAACAAATATTAAAATTAAAAATAGTTAAAGCATAAGGTTCAGACAAGGGTTTTAAAAGAGATCAAAAATCCAAAATCCAAGCCTTTCTCTTTAAATGTTGGTTGATCGATACACACACTGGACAGCTGCCCGAAGATTGGATTTAATAGCGTTACTCCTACTTTTTAAAGGGGGTGATAAGAGCTGCATCAGAAATTATATACCACTTAGTCATCACACTTCTTTAGTGGGAAAAATCCTAGAGTCTGAAAGAATGAACTTTGTAAATTCATTTATTAAAATTTGACATCAGAAAAGAGAGCCAATTTGGATTTACTAAAAAAATATTCAAAAATGTAACTATATGGATAAATGGTGTGATTAGATGGCTTTTGAAAATCGCATCAGTGTGGGTTGGGAAAAGACAATTGGATTGGAGTGTAGTTGAATGAGAGGAAAATTATAATTAATGTAGTCAACTCAAACTGGACATTTCTTACTAGTGAAGTGCCTCATGGGTTAGTGCTTGGGCCATTGCTTTTTCTTATTTACACTGATATAGGCATAACTAGTAAACTTTCTGATGACATTACGCTTCAGTGTTGGCTGCCAGACAGTAGACACTAAAATGACTTCACATAAGGAAGGCTCAACATTGCAATTTGTACTGTCGTGACATCAATAAGACAAGCACATGCCATGAAATTTATGCATTCTTTAGGCTAACACAGCATGACATATGAACTTCGAAAGCAAGAAATAAAAGTATTTGTTACTCTTAATTTTGGTTTTAGTTACTTTTAAAACAGAACACTTTCTGGGACCCTGCAGAAGTACATCTAGTATTATAGTTATATTCACGGTATTGAGGTGTTCCAGAAGAGTTTGGTTCAATTAGTGAATCAGGCAAATTTTTCGCAAATTACCTTTATTTTGGAAGTACAGGGTAATACATTTGGGCTATAATAATTTGGATCACTCGTTGATATAAATAGGAACCCACTAAATAGCGTGACTGAAAAACAAAATTATATTCTACAAACTACTACTACTACTACTGGTACAACTACTATTATCTATTAGTATTAGTGAATATTACCACTTAGTTTACTTTAGACATTTAAATTTTCAACTGGTTTTATCTACTATTTAGTAGTAGTAGTACCAGGCGTTAGTTATTACTAATAACAACCGTACTCTAAAACTAAATTGTTTCCCACCTATGTTATTCTGTTTTGCAACCCTTAATTCTTTTATAAATGGCTTTTAAACACATTTGAAATATTTTATTATAATATTAATCATTCTTACCTACGCTACTCTGAACTCTTATATTTAAAATCGATCCGTCATATGACATAAATATAGAAGAATTGTCACTAGATGTCACTAAAACAAAACATCGAAAATAATTTAGTTCATAAAATATGTTTGTTAATGCCTAGTTTTAATTAACTGTTTAGATTTATATGGAAAATTTGTTTGTAGTTAAGCACAGAGCTACACAAAGGGCTATCTGTGATCTGCGCAACACGGGTATCGAAACCCGGTTTCTAGCATTGTAAGTCCGCAGACATACCGCTGTGCCAGTTGGGGGGGGGGGGGTATGAGAAAAGTTAAACAGATACTGAAAGTGAAACATATATCAGCTTCAATCTGAA